ATGAAATTTAAGTTAGAAACACATTATAATTCTATTGTGTCGCTCGTGCAGTAAGCATGGAAGTCAGTGACCAGCTCTGTCAGTGTTATCTGTGAACTAAAATAGAATTCACGTAAGATTTTATATGTTCGTTCACGCGGTTGCGGGAGTTGACTCACTGCCACACAATTTGCAGATTTAGGCTGATGTCCTAGTACAAAAGTAAGGAAGCGATTGGAAAATTTAGGCTATGTTCAATTACACTCAGGTTCAAGCACCGTGTAAAAACGTGGTATATTTTTTTTTGTTGTACAGAGGATAAATCTTGGAAACTATACGTTAGATGTATTTTACATGTATCTATATACCTAAATATATATGTACCACAGCCAGTGGTTCACATGTACCGGTATAGTATGAAAAAAGTTTAATTGAAAGTAACTAGATTAGTACATTTAATAACTATACGCATTATGAAGTATCTACCTAAAACTGAAGCTTTGTTTTGTTAGTGAAACAATTTTTAAAGCATCTTTATTCACATATCAGTTTCAACATGTTTGTTATCTAAAACATCTTAGGACTAAGCCAGAAGGAAGTTTAGATGTTTAGACAATATGCAGACCTAGTACTGAAATTTATTTAGGCCAGATAATAAATTATCGGGATGCTGTTCAAATAATTATGTTTATGATAAACCCTTCATCCAAAGCTTATCTTAGCTGAAATTTCCCCGGTTAATTTTCTTAATAATTTATTTTTTCAAGCCATGTTGAAGAATACGTTATATAAAATACGTTTGGAAAGCTTAGGCTCCTCGTGGTCCTACTGTCTTAGTACTACTTATTGTTTTTGTTGAGATTTGAAAAAAACTGTTTGTGATTTAGGTGTGAGAGAGCCATGCTCCAGAGTGTAAAGGCGTGTTTTGGCACGAATGGGTCAACTCGACCGGAGTGTTATCACAACCTCACACCAAACCGGCGTGAAAGAACTAAAGCGTTGTGTTTCGCGTTGAGAGTGAGGTTACCGTACCGGAGCCACAATTCTACATCATCCTTTCCCAATCTCTAAATACCAAAATTTTCCGCAACGCATTTGCAGCTCCTCTGGTGTTGCGGGGGTCCATGGGCTGTGTCGATTGCTTACCATCACATAATCCAACTGCTAGTTTGCTGCCATATCACAAAAACGTAAACATTGGCTACAGATAACAAAAAACTGCATTTGCCACCGACCTCACTCATTCAATCATTCAGTTATGTTATGTCATTGTAGAGGCGTATAATTTATTAGCTAAGGTAAAATAGAGTGGATCACCTCCGCGTACGCAGAATTTCTCGGCGGGAGTACATTTTTCATACATTTGCATGTCTGGTTTCGGATGTTTCACATGCCTGGCCAAATTAATTGTACGACAAACGTCGCACTTGACCCTATCTGGTTCTTGACACCGCGGTGGACTACTCATTTTTGATTTAGATTAAATTTTATGAAAAACTTGTAAATACTGAGGATTTCAAATAAATTAACAAAAATGGTGATGATGTTTATTTTAGGTATCAAAAAGGTGACAGTGTTATATTTTGTCAGTGGATTATTTGCTCTTTTTAGTTTAGTCGTTTTTGTGCCAGTTTTTGTGCAATTTTTAGAACGAAAAAGTTTTGTCGTAACATCTCTGCCTTCTTGGGTTTTCAATTTTTAGTTCAACATCCACAATTTTGAGAGGGCGTAAGAAAGCTTTTAAAAACATTACCTGATGGTAAGCAATCAACGCCGCCCATGGCCATCCGCAACACCAAAGGAGTTACGAGTGCGTTGCCGGCCTTTTAAGGATAAGGGTTTCGGACATTTGAGGATTGAGAAGGGATGCGGGTAGGGGGAGGGATAGGATAGAGGGAAGGTAAGTTGCAGTTCCTATGTAACTCTATTTCTGTTTCTGTATTTATTTTTTCCTATTTACTGTATGTGTGATGTGCATAAATAAATAAATATGGCTTCTTCTCACATGGAGAAGATTTGAGTATTAATTACCACGCTTGCTCAAAGCGGATTGGCGATTTCAAACTTATATTTGAAATTACGAGTCCAGGTTTCCTCGCGATGTTTTCTTTCAGCGTATGACAGTGGTATCTAAATAATCATGGAAAGTACACATACATCGGAAAGTCACATCAGGTACTTGCCAGTTTTTGAACCCTTATACATGAGAAGCGGGCATATTACCCTTCGGGTACCCACAACGAAGTTCAATCTGATCCTCATAAATAAGAAGTCCTAGCTATAATAACACCTAGGGAGTATCAAGCTTTTGGCGATCGAATCAACACTAACTGATGCTATTAAGTTTATTCAAGAACTCGTCAATCATAACCACTGTTTTGCTTCAATATGCTCTGGAGAGGAGAAATGATGCACGAAGACTGTTGTGTTACTTATTTAGTTTAATCGTTGTATAAAAACTTATTTACGACATTTATAAAACAAATGTGGAATGTTTAAATGTTTGTGTCTGTCGTTGGTGGTCGTCGAAGCCGGAACAATCACCTACACCTACAACTTTTAACTCATAAACCATAGCATATCTCGTTTTAGTCATGGGCACACAATTTCCTATCTTTTTTACATTACATTTTTTTTAAAAAAAAAAAACGTTGCCCCACACTAGGATTTTCTCCTGTGTCGTGGGTGCGGTTACAAACATACAATTTCACATACACATGACACCCAGACCCGGAACAACAATTTGTGGATCACACAAAGAGTTGTTCCGTGCGGGAATCGAACCCGCGACACGTTGCACGGCAGCCAGTTGCCCAGCCACCGCACCAACCGTGCAGTCAACAAATTATAGGTCGGTAAACGTGTAAACGGATTGCCTGATGGTAAGCAATCAGCGCCATCCATGGACACCCGCAACAGCAGAGGAGTTATGAGTGCGTTGCCGACCTTCTCGGGATAAGGGTCTTGGAGATTTGGGATTGGAGGAGGAGAACGATCGGGCCTCCGGTAGCCTCACTCACACGGCGAAACACAATAGTGTAATTGTTTCTTGCCAGTTTTCTGTGAGGCAGTCTCATCACTCCGGCCAAGCTGACCTATTTGTGCCGAAAACTTAACTATCTATACAATTGTTGACTCCCATAGTTGTATTGACATTGAATTTCATCGGAATAGAATAAAAATGAAAGTCTCTACTCACTGTCTCCAGAATATCCCTTCATATTGCTTTTATGTGATCGTTTTTATAATGGGATTCATTTTAATAAAATTTGAAAAAAAGTTACCAAAATTTTGTAATTTTCTTGTCAACAACAGTCTGAGCCGTCGAGATTTACCTACTAAATAATTTTATGAATTTACTAGTGAAGAATTGAATGGAGGCTAGGGTCGTGCTATTGGAGGGGTTTGGTGGACGGGAATAGAATCGATCATGATGAGGATGGTGGTGATAGCGTTATAAAATTTTAGATATGAGGTTCTACAGATAGATAGATAAAGTGTTTATTTAGCACAACACAGGAATACAAGCAATAAACAAAAACATAATAGAAGAGAAGAAAGAAAAAAAAAACTTATAAATCGTAAAAACTTATAAGCTAGCACGCTATTAGAAATCTATAAAAGGAAAACGGTTCGATGTCCTAGATGAGAATATTAAGAAAACCTAGTGACAGCTGAGCTGTGTGTCAGGAGGATTCTGTACATAAGACATAAGGGCTTATTTTAATGTTTATGTTTAATAAGCCGGTTGGAGAACAGAGTTTAAATGGTTCAAGTATATCAGAGAGTATTCTATACAGTCAAATGTGCAGTTCTTCGTTTTGCTGTGGTGACGATAGGGGACTTTGAACAAATCACACACACACATACCTAACATTAGCCTGTAAGTGCCTACTGCTGAGCAAAGGTAAGGTAAAATAGATCAGAAAACGAGCAAACCGATTACCTGATGTTAAGCAATTGACGCCTCCCATGGACACCCGCATCACCTAAGGAGTTACGAGCGCGTTTCCGGCCTTTTATAAGGGATTCGAATATTTAAGGACTGGGAAGGGGTGGGGAGAGAGGTAGGGATTGGGCTTCCGGCAACCTCACTCACACGGCGAAACACAACGACGCTGCGGTTGTTTCACGTCTGTTTTCTGTGAGTCCGTGGCATCGCTCCGATCAAGCCAACCCTTTCGTGTCGAAGGTCTTTCGTTAGGTTTAAGCATAGGTAAACTGGTACTGATGGGGGTGCTGGTGAAAAATGAATGCTACCTCTATTCTGTTCTACGTCGAATCCTTAGCAGTTACCTACTTGGCTAGCTAGCTGCTGGTAGCTGTAACATATGGATTTAATAAAAAGAAGCACCAGTACTGTGGTCTCGATGGCATGTGCGGATGTGATAAGCCCCCACGCGCATGTACATCCGCTACGTATATATGTGTTGCGCAAGCCGATTGGTATATGCTTCCGCGCTACGACTATCCTAGATAAGGATAGGCCATGTTGCGAAATTTTGCCAAAAAATATTCTATGACACGTGGGGATGTCGTGGAGGCTTGTATCTATTTGTAGAGTCACGTGATGTATCTATCGAAGTTTCGAGAGGATCCTCAAAATGATTGGAGTTTTATTGATTTCCTATAGTTGAGCACATTTTTGGTGTCTTGTGTTTATGTTTTTTATTTATGTTTTGGCAAAAATCTAATGTTTACCTACTAATGCTTTCGCCATTAAGAACGGATGAAAATAAGTCGTATACAAGGGAATACCCCTGTTGATATAATCCTTATAACTTACCTACATAAACATATTTTATTTTAAAAGTAAGTTGGTAGTAAACCTTATTATTTGCATAACACAATATGTAAAACATATTGCTGTCTCTCGTTTACAAAAACCTTACAAACAAGAACAAACCCTCATTATTTGCAAAGCAATCCATTGTTTTACTTGAAAGGGCAAAGCGAAAACTTGGAACTTTAGTTCAAAGCTCCATTGAGCGTTTTCATGAATGGCGGGCGTGGTGGGGGTAGCGGGATGCGCGCGCGCCGCCCGACAGATACTCCGGTCGCCGGAGGCTGCGTCACACGCACATCAGTGAAGTCCACTTCACTATCGGCGCGCCTGCGCAAGAGCGCGCAGTTCGGCGGGACATTCAAAATATTTAATTTTTTTTTTATTCTTTGTTTTTTTGAACTTATTTTGTCTTGTGCCTGTACTGTACTGTGGTGTTGTTTAGTGTTGTTCCAAGAACTAGGAGAGTTGTTGGCATGATCGCGTAAAGATGACGGCTTATAACTTCAGGTAGGATAACTATTTAAGTTGTTTTTTTTGGCTGAATTTTTAGGCCATGGATATTCTTATACAAGCTTTACAGTGGATTTTCAACCACTCCATTAATGTAATATAATTATTTTTGTTTAAAAAATATTCAATAGCGTTAATAAGTGCGTAAAGTTGTCGGTAGTGGCGTAGGTAACGAATTTTAAAAGAAAAAACTAAGCGATTTAGTTAAACTTAAACCTTCATTAAATAAAATGTATTCGTATGAGTTTTTGCGTAGTATTTCTAAAAAAAACACATTCGACAATGCGTTAGAAATCAAAATTATTGTTCAACAATTTATTAAGCGTTTTTTTAACTAAACATTAAATAATATGATATATTATATTCAGTAAAAATATTTATATGAAATTATTTAAAGCTTAAAATGTAAGTTTAAATCAAAAATTTTTTTTGCCGGCCGGTGTTATGTCAATAAATTTTATACATAAAGTATCTTAACTGTGTCTTATTGCGTGCAATATTCATGCAGGCGTCTAACGAATATTAGGTAAATTTTATACGTTGGTATTTTATTTAAGAAACTATTCGTTTGAAATGATAGTTTTTTTTAAATTACATTGAGAATACTGACGTAAACGTCTGGAATAACATATAACGGACACTAATACGTTCTTAAGGTAAAAATTGAGATTGTGTGTCGTGATCGTGTCTTATTTGCTCCGCCATTACAAGTGTGTCAATGATACCTAATTATTGTTATCCGTCTGGTATTTCTTAAAAACATACTTTACTTCAGTACTTTTTAACAATAAATATCATTTAAAATACGAATCTTAAATAGTTTCACACAGATTTATATCGTTAATCAGATTGTTAAGCAGCTAGCAACAAGCGTTAAAAATAATTGCGGCGTAAAAATGCGAGTAATTTTACCAATTTGCGTGTGCACATTCGCAAAGTACTTACGCTTCGATTAAGAATCGTGTGCCCTGTCGTGTCTTGTCTGACGGTACCAAAGGACCAGTGGGCAGGGCTTAGGGTCACCACATGTGGTCAGAAAAATAAAAAAAAAGTTTTGAAACAAATAGTCAAGATGAGAAAAAAAGTATTGTTTAGTAGTTTCTTCGCTATTAGCGGAAGTTGCAAAAATATTTTAAAATCCTTGTTGGTAATAACTGGATTTGGGTACTTACCTAATTGTTTTTTGAGTCAGTTTCAAGTAATAGTTTTTCAAATAAGCATGAACACTGAAACTGAAGTCGTGATGGGGAAACATTTTTCATTTCCGTACTGATTTAAGTAAAGTTTTTATTTCATATAATGCCATAAAGATTGGTTCAAAGCTCCATTGACCGCGACTTGAAAAACTGCATCAAAATCTGTCACGCAGTTTTAAAGATCTAAGCATACAAAGAGACAGTCAGCGGAAAGCGACTTTGTTTTATACTTATTATGTAGTGTAGTTACAACGGTACAATCATAACTGAGATTGCAAGCTATGTAATTGTATCTCAATGTATCTATTGCTTGTAATATACCAGCTTTTCAATTACCCAGATTCACTCTAACTAAGTTACGAACCTCATTTCTAATTGCTCTAATTTGTGTCTTATTTTTATTTTTTATTAAATCTTAATAAAATTCTTACACACATTTTCGTTCACTTAACTACGTTTTATTTATAAAATGCTTTGGTTCTGTCGTACCTAAATAAAAACTAAGTGTCGGATTTTATTTCATACTTACCGCCTAAAAATTTATGAGAATGCCAACCCTAATTTACTTTCTATGAATTAGAAAATTATCACCTTTTATAGCATCATCTAGATAATCATAATAAAGCCATTTCAACCTCACACCTGATAACAGTTCAAAGCATAATAGTTACCTGTGTGTCATATGTTATCTGTGGCTCGGATACCGGGACAACCCTAACATGCCCCTCATAAGTCGTAAATCCAGCTTCACACGAACCCGATTCCGTACAAAAAGTGAAAAAAAGTCTTTAAGATTAAAACTAAAGACCATTGTTCTTTTTATATAAGAACCCGCCGATTCGAGAGGGAGAAATTCTCCAGTCCTTCATGCATAAATTCATTGTCGGTTTTGTGGCAACAGGGCCCGTATAATTAAAGTCTTAGAAGATTTAGATAACGGCAGAAAAGCCTTTCTTTTCACTACAATGTAATAGCAAGACTCTTACATTATAATAGAGTTTAATTTCCTTTAACGACACTATAAAGTTTTTGCAAACAGTAGCGATAGGATTGCATACGCGATTCTTTGAAATTTCGCTTTCAGTTTTGGTTTGTTTGTTTTTGTTGTTATGTCCCGTTTGGTAATATTTCTTTAAGCTCTTTGTATTTTAGAGTGTATCTTTGATATTATATCTTTGAACAATGTAAGCTTAGAAGTATTAGGAGCTCAGAAGATGAGTGAAGAAATGTATTGTTCCTTGTGATTGATTTCCGCCGCCGTGAGATGCCTGTTGACTAGCGTTGACGTTAAATATTAGATAGACTATGTTTGAAATAGAAATGTTATAACTCCTCAGCGTTACTGATCTCCGTGTCATTCTTTCAATGTGTAATATAACATGAGCTGGTTTAGTAAATCAAAGAAATTGGAACTCAGTGTTTTATGTAAGATCTTTAAACATACTCGTATGAATTCATGGTTTCCCTGTATAGGTACTGTAATAATTCAATTGTAGAATAAAAAGTTATAAAAATCAATCAAATGAGTTTTTATAAGCAAAACCAAAAATATTAATGAAATTCAATAGCTTGAGAACAGTATAAATTAGTAGGTCTAGTACCTCCTCTAAAAAAAGTAAACGAAAATTTTTGCGACTTTACGCTTGTCTCAAAGGTGTAGTAGATCCTGTAGGGCACCACAGATGCGATCCCTACCCTACCTACCCTACAGGGCCGATGTACAGCCGGGGTTGCGGGGCAAGCACAATAAGATACCGCGGCCTCAGCCTGGAGCAGGATAGGAAACAGAGAGGTTTTTAGTCAGTAAGAGCCTGACACTCTATTTCGCTTGACCCTGGGCAAGAGAAGCCATTAGATGATTTTACCACCATAAAAAAAACGTATAGAATTAAAAACCTGGAGCTCTAAAAACATGAAAATCTCATTTTGAGGAAGTAAGTAATGTGTAGGTAACTAATTTAGCAAATAAAACCTCTGCTTTATATTTAGGCGCTAAAATCGAACGAGACGACACACATTGTTCGATCATAAAGAATTGAATAGCGAATGGCGTTGAAGATTCTCAGGTCAAAATGTGTCTGTTGTTATTTTTACAAAGTTATTTAAATAACTAAACTAATTAAGGTAACTTTTTTAAATGTGTACTTAATTATATCTATATTTATACGACATTTCAATTTAAATAATAAGTTATTAAATTCAATAGGCAATCGATGTGTCAAACTACAAAATAACCTTCCGGTCATAAATGCAAGCACGTCTTGAAAAGGGCCCATGTGGGACTTGTTGCATAATAATTAAATACCTACTTAATACAACATACACGCCATTTAATTACTTATAAATAGAGCTATTATAATAATTTATTATTAATTTATTAATAGAGTAGAGAATGGTTTAAAATATTAAACATAAAAATAGTGCTTAAATTACACACCAAATCCCGAGTCAGATTGTTGAAAATCCAGTTAGTAAACTCGTATGTGTGTGTAGGTATTGAAAGTAAACCTAGTGCTTACACGTCTCTTTGTACTCTATGCTCTCCTGGTAATTCTAGGTACAAACGAGACACAGCTTAGGCTGAGAGACCTGGTAAATCTAGATTTTATCTAGACGCGTGCGGAGCTAGCATAAAATTTGTCTAGGATAGTGTAAGATGACATCACTTTTTCTAGTTTTTTTATTATGCTAATTGATAGCGAAGCTTGTTTGAACACCGTTTTGCAGTAAATGCTGCATATTATCGATGGTCGATGTAAATTTAATTTGACAAAAGTATTTTTATTATGGACGTGTGACATTTGAATTTATAATTCGAGGAATGTATTATTTATATTATAATATAATGGTTGTAACAAAGTATTAAAAAATTAATATAGTTTTTTGTTTAACATTCTATTATAATTGTTTAAATTGAGTATTATTATTTCCCAAACTGTTTCGTACTCTACAAAAATATTTGACATCGTACCGTACTTGTTAAAACATTTAGAGACAGATAGATGTACTATCTCACTTCCACGAGTAAACATTTTAGAAGGTTTTATAAATAACTCGCGGTATTCATGGAATATAATTTCAGCGAAGTCCCTCTATAAATTCATGTAGGCCGTTCCTTGTATACGCGATCAAAAGATCCTGCTTCCCTAGTAACGAACATGATTCTTGATACGATAGCATCTAAAGTGAAGGAGGTATATCGTTATTAACTTACAAAACTCGTGATTAAGTTAATATTACAGAGTGTATTTATTTGCATTATTTAAATTCATTGTACACTGTCTTCATAATATAATCACTAACAACAACCATCACCACAGTTATTTTATTTTTAAGAAGCAACAGGCTGTACTTGTCTATGAATAATAAGTCGATTAAAAAAACAAATTATGCATTTATAATTCTGAAGAAGACACCAAAAAAATTTAGTAAGTAGAGTTTGGTTTGGAAAAGTTATAATTAAATGTTGTTATAGAATCTTGCTCATACCTATTACACAATGTTCGTTACGCTGGGAAATAGAAAACCCAATGCTAACTAAATTAACCACAAATTTTTAAATAGACCAGACAATTTCCCGATGCGTAAGTAAGTAGATGCCATTTGTATTTTATGATTGTGGTTTCAATATTATTCTTTATGTTATTTTATTCAAGATTTTATTAGCGATATTCTTTTTTTTAAATTCCGTAGCCTAAGAGATCGTAAATTAAAGGTTTATAGCAGTTTCAATTCGGTTTAACGCTCACACATTCGCAATAAAAGATAATTTCTAGTATGATGAAGAAATAAATTTACATG